TCGAACGACGAAATTAAAAGGTTCCGTGGCCCAGGGGGGCTACCCTGGGAAGCGTGGACAGGGGGGGGGGGCGAGGGGTACCCTGGGAAGCGTGGACAGGGGGGGGGCGAGGGGGACGGGGGGGGGCGAGGGGGACGAACGACACGACGAACGACGAAAATAAAGGGTTCCGTGGCCCAGGGGGGCTACCCTGGGAAGCGTGAACAGGGGGGGGGGCGAGGGGTACCCTGGGAAGCGTGGACAGGGGGGAAGGCGAGGGGGACGGGGGGGGGCGAGGGGGACGAACGACACGACGAACGACGAAAATAAAGGGTTCCGTGGCCCAGGGGGGCTACCCTGGGAAGCGTGGACAGGGGGGGGCGAGGGGGACGAACGACACGACGAACGACGAAAATAAAGATGTCCGAGCTCTAGAGCACAGCTGTGCAAGAGAATGAAATATCCATCTGGGACCCCTTACACGAATCCCCATGGGGAATGCCGCACGTACTTGGTGACACATGACACGTGGCCGCGTGATCGTGCAGGCAGGCCGGTGCGACGGCGCCTGGGGCTCGGTAGATAGATGGGCAGAAGACAACTTGGAATACGAATGTGCGTCAATGCGACGGCGACCGTGGCGGGCACATCTAGATAAATGGATGAACACTACCAATCAAGCCAAGCCGACTAGTCGAGGATCTACTGGCCTGGATCAGTCCAAACCCGGGTCAACCAGGCCTTGCATGGTCCTGCAAGATCCTGCAAGATCCGGCGTTCTGAGTGCCACCCGTTTGCATGGACCCCCGTCCCTTGAGCCCCGAACAAGGATTCGAGTGTGGCTGGGGCTCCGGCTTCTGGCACTTTCCTTCCACTTGCAAGGTCTGTTGCCCTGGCCGGCTATCGTGAGGTGCTGCGTGACGACACGATTGTGTGTCGCGATCAACGACGTTCTCGCGCACCTGAGCCATGTGAACGAGGACTGGATAACGTCGAAGCCACCGCTGGATCAAAACTCCAAGAGGCACAATTCTATATCGCAAGATCGTGTTCCGCTCTGCCATCTGCGCGATATGTAAGCCGCAGGACGTGACACTCGCTCTGCTTCCAGACCGTCGGATTCCCACTGCGACCCAACGACGGGCCTTCAGTATACGGCTGCTCACACCTTGTGCGCATAGCGCATCATGGTTTCCGCGCTGCAACACAGATAGATGCTCAAAGGCTCGGCGGATTGCGACTCATCACGCAGAGCTCAGCATCAGATGTCCGTCGCGTGATCCGCCCCGTCGAGCACCCGCGCACTCACCAGCGGAGCTGCTCCGCCTGCGATGTGGCACCACGGTCACGACGTCAGTAAGAAGCAACGGGCCACGAACATCACGCAGAGCTCAGCACCAGATTTAGGTCGGGCATGCCCTCCTGCAGGTAGGATCACACCGCAGCCCCGAATCCCTCTTGAGCAGGGACCGACCGTCCCAGCATTCCTATAGTCCTACCACGATGTGTTCTCAGAACCCACAAATGTCCGAATAACAGAAACCATGTTCTTAGAACGTTGACCCGATGTGGTAATCCAAGACAGTCTCCGCCAGAAATGTTCTCAGAACCTTTCGTGGAAGCCACAAAAGGTTCTTATAACTTATAACATTGTTTGGTAGGGCTATGGGCGCGCCAAGACGCTTCGCCACTGCTCGAATCACATCGCAGCCCCGAACCCCTCCGCCCCCTCCTCTCTAGGCGGCGCGCCGGGCTCCTCCGCGCTGGCTGCGCTCCGCCGCCCAGGTTGTGGTCCTGCAGGCGCCCGGGGACGCACGGCGGGGACCGGGCCCAGGAGGGCCTGGCCCCGCACTCGAAGGAGGGCCCTCTCGATGGTCCTCCTGGTGGTCCTCCTCCTGGTCCTCCTGTGGGTCCACCTCCTCCCTTCCTCCTCCTCCTCCTCCTCCTTCCTCCTCCTCCTCCCTCCTCCTCCTCCTCCCTCCTCCTCATCCTCCTCCTCCCTCCTTCCTCCTCCCCTTCCTCCTCGCTTTCTCCTCGCTTCCTCTTCCTCCTCACTCGTTTTCCTCCTTCTCCTCTCCCCTTTCTCCTCCCCTGCTTTCCCCTTCCTCCTCCCCTTCCTCCTCGCTTCCTCTTCCGCCTCCCTTTTCCTTTTCTTCCTCTCCTCCTCCTCCTCCTCCTCCTCCTCCTCGCTTTCTCCTCCTCCTCTCCCTCCTCCTGTCCTCCTCGCTTCCTCTTCATCCTACCCCGTTTCCTCCTCCTCCTCCTCCTCCTCCTCCTCTCCTCCTTCCTCCTCCTCCTTCCCCTTCCTCCTCCCTCCTCCTCCTCGCTTTCGCTTCTTCCTCCCTTTTGCTCCTCCTCCTCCCTCCTCCTCCTCCTCCTCCTCCACCACCTCCTTCCCTCCTCCTTTCCTCCTCCTCCTCCTCCTCCTCCTCCTCCTCCTCCTTTCCTCCTCCTCGCCCTCCCAGCTCTCTTTGCCCTGGGGTGATGCTTCAGGGGCGGCGCCAGCGACGCTCGGCGCGCCTGCCTGTCCCGAGCCGCACACGTGCGGCCCCCCTCGGCGCGCCCCCCTGCGGCTTGCAGGGCCCGTTCTCGTCCTGCTGGCCGAGCTGGCCGATGTCGCCAGCGCGCTGCCGCCTGCCCCCTGCGCGACCTCCGTGCGGCGCCCCGCCGGTCGACGGCGCGGATCCGCCGCACCCAATGCCTGACGCACACGGCTGGCCAGACTGGCCCTGGTCGCCTGCCTGCGGGTGGCCCCTGGAGAGCGGCGCTGCACTGGGCGGCGGCACACATCGGGGGCTGCTAGTGTCGGCGGCGAGCCCAGGGGGGGGGGAGTGAGAAGGGGCGGGCCTTCTCAGAAGGCTCGGAAGCCCCCTGGCCTTCTGAAGAGGCCTTCTCCTTCTCACTTCCCCCCTCGCTCGCCGCCGATAGAAGTGCCCCTGGCCCAAGGTGCCCCCAGCTTCTCGCTCGATGTTGGAGCCCCCTGGGGCCCCCTGGGCCTCGTAAGGGGTGCTCTGGAGGCCGTGAGGGGCTCTGGAGGCGCCCGCGGCCGACCCCGCCCGGGTGTCAGCTCGCGCGGATTTGGCTCTCCTGCGGCCACGACGGCGCCGACGACGTCCACGACGGCGAGAGCGACCTCCAGGGCACTGCCTACGGTTGCACCTGCAGGTTCGCCATCGGCTTCAGCTCCTGCAGCTTCGGCCCCTGCGGCCACGACGGTGTCTACTACAGGGCAGTTTTTAATGCATAGGATTTCAAAACAATACAGGATTTCTAATACATGAATAGTTTATGAACAAATGTATGCACGAACTCATCGTTGTTTTTAATACTAAATCCCTGCTCTGTTATACATGATCCGCACGCGGAGCATGTATTAAAAACAGCACTGTACACCTACGACGGCGAGACCGACCTCTAGGGCACCTCCGCTTACAGCACTGCTACGTCTCCATCGTGGGCTTCAGTTCCGACGGCCACGACGGCGCCTGCGCGACCACCTGCGAAGGCGAGATCGGCCCCCAAGCATGTCCGACCGCGTCCAGCAATGAAGACCCCCCCCCTTCCGGTGAAAGGATAACGCATCCAACACCCGGAAGCGTTATCCTGGCACCCTGAGAGGAGGAGGAGGAGGAGGAGGAGCAGGAGGAGGAGAAGGAGGATGAGGAATAGGAGGAGGAAGAGTAGGAGTAGGAGTAGGAGGGAGGTGAAGGAGGAGGAGGGGGAGGAGGGTGAGGACGGGGGCGGGGAACAATTATTAGTTTCTGCGTTTGGGTGCGGTGCTGACTGTGCTGCTCTGCTAAATCCGTCCCCGCGAATCATTTGTTACCATTGCGGTGCTGACGATAACCTAGGGGGGTCCTTCATTGCTGGATGCGGTTACTGCGCCGTCGGCTTCGGCCCTTGCAGCTGCGGCTTCTACGGCTTCGCCACCTCCGCCTACGACGTCTCCGCATTCGGCCCTGGAGGGCTTGGAGGAGCGGCTGGAGCAGCGACAGGCGCAACAGGACACACCTGGGGAGTTCGACACGGAGGCAACGTGA